CTTGCAGTGAGCCAAGATCGTGCCACTGCACTCTAGCCTGGGTGACAGAGTGAAACTCTGGCTCAAAAAAATAAGCTGAAGATTATGAGATGAGGGAATTTCTAGACTGTACATGAAAAAAATAATTTTGGGGGCTGGGCGTGGTGGCTTACACCTGTAATCCCAGCAGTTTGGGAGACTGAGGCAAGTGGATCACCTGAGGTCAGAAGTTCGAGATCAGCCTAACCAATACGGTGAAACCCTGTCTCTACTAAAAATACAAAAATTAGCTGGGCACGGTGGTGCGCACCTGTAATCCCAGCTACTTGGGAGGCTGAGACGGGAGAATTCCTTGAACCTGGGAGGCAGAGGTTGCAGTGAGCCAAGATCGCGCCACTGCACTCCAGCCTGGGCAACAGAGGAAGACTCCATCTCAAAAAAAAAAAAATATATATATATATATATATACACACACACACATATATATATATTTTTGAAATTGTCACTTATTTTGAAAATGAAATTCAAGATTAGGTTCCAAGAGAGTTTTGAGAACCTGTGCATAATTTGTATGTATGGGCATTCTTCTGGGAGAATTTCCATGTGGTTACAAACCACTGGTATAAAAGGAAATTAGATGTAGAGTAAATAAGTAAATAAACATGCTTTAATTGCAGTATCTCTCTCTTTATCACCTGATGAATGTAGTAAATAGTATTGTTGATATGTCCTTCTCTTTACCATTTTATTCTTTAGGAAAATTATTTTGTAGAGTGAATTTTATTGATAAAGTGAAGAGTTGCTTGAGGTAAATAGTATGTTAGGATTGTCCTGAATACAGAGCCTTTTTTAATCTTAAAAAAAAAAAAAAAAAACCAATGGGGACATGTCAAAGGACACACATGTCACCATGGCTCTACTGCCAAAGATAGGACAATTTGATCATAAAAAGGAAGGATGAATGCAATTGAGTGAAACATTTGGAACATATAAAAACCCACAGGTTACTGTTACAAACATTTATGAGATAACTAGGGAAATGTGAACACTGCCTGGGTATTTGAATATATTAATAAGTGACTGGCCAGGCATGGTGGCTCATGCCTAAAATCCTAGCACTTTGGGAGGTTGAGGTGGGCAGATTGCTCAAGCCCAAAACTTTGAGACTGGCCTGGGCAATATAGCAAGACACCCATCTCAATTTGTTTATATATATTTTTTCATTTAAAAAATAAAAACGAATTTAAAAAAGAAGTTATTAACTTTGTGGTGTGATTGTGGCAATGTGGTTATGTTAAAAAGAATAAGAGGACTGGGCACGGTGGCTCATGCCTGTAATCCCAGTACTTTGGGAGGCCAGGTCGGGAGATCGTGACCATCCTGGCTAACGCGGTGAAACCCCGTCTCTACTAAAAATACAAAGAATTAGCTGGGCATGGTGGCACATGCCTCTAATCCCAGTTACGTGGGAGGCTGAGGCAGGAGAATCACTTGAACCCGAGAGGTGGAGGTTGCAGTGAGCAGAGATCACGCCACTGCACTCCAGCCTGGCGACAGAGCAAGACTCCAAAAAAAAAAAAAAAAAAAGACTAAGAGGTCTGTATCTTTGAGAGATACATATAGAAGTATTTGTGGATACAATAACATATTGCCAGGGATTTATTTAAAATCATCTGAGGTGAAGACAGGACAGGGAGTAAGGGTAGGGCTGGAACACGACTGGTCGGATATTGATGATTGAGGTTGAGGCCATAGCCTCTCTACTTTGTAATGCACTTGAAAATTTCCAAAATAAAAACACAGAAACAATTTCATGAGTTCAGGCCGAGGCAGGAGGATAGCCTTGAGCTCAGGAGTACGAGACCAGCCTGGGCAACATGGTGAAATGCCGTCTCCACAAAATACGAAATCTAGCTGGGAATGGTGGCATGCACCTGTAGTCCCAGCTACTCTCGAGGTTGAGGTTGGAGGATCACTTGAGCTTGGGAGGTGGAGGTTGCAGTGAGCTGAGATCGCACCACTGCACTCCAGCCTGGGCAACAGTGAGACCCTATCTCAAAGAAAGAAAAAGAAAATGGAAATAGTGAAAACAACCAATACATTGGTCAACCCTAATGTTAACCAGGGCATTCTCCTTTTCACTCTAGAAATCAACAATTGGAGCAAAGAACGAAACATTTAGTCTGCCTTTTCTGTGTGTGTGCACTGAATTTTAGAGTAACTAAATAGCCATAGTTGATGAGGGAAACTTTTTATTTTATTTTTTTAGACATGGGGTCTCACCCAGGCTGGTCTCCAACTCTTGGGCTCAAGAGAGTCTCACACCTCAGCATCCCGAGTAGCTGGGACCATAGGCCCTCACACAAAAGCATCCCAGCTGATATATCTGGCTAGAATGTTCACATTAGAAAGTCACCACTTGCAGCTTTGGGAGGTGGAGACAGGAGGATTGCTTGAGGACAGGAGTGGGAGACCAGCCTGGGCAACATAGTGAGATCCCATCTCTACAAAAACTTATCGGAAATTAGCTGGGCATGGTGGCACACACCTGTCGTCCCAGTTACTTGGGAAGCTAAGGTGGGAGGGTTGCTTGAGCTCAAGAGTGTGAGATTACAGTGACCCATGATCCTACCACTGCACTCTAACCTGGGCAACAGAGATTCCTGTAGGAAGAAGGGAAGGAGGGAAGGAGGGAGGGGGAGAAAGAGAAAAGGAGGGAAGGAGGGAGGAAGGGAAAGAGGGAAGAGGAGAAGGAAAGAAGAAGCGAAGGAAGGAAGGAGGGAGAGAGAGAAGGAGGGAAGGAGGGAGAGAGGGAAGGGCAGAAAGAGAAACAGAAGGAAAGAATTAGGGAAGGAGGGAAGAAGAGAAGGAGGGAAGAAGGGAGAAAGAGGAGGAAAAAAGCGAGAGGAGGGAAGAAGGGAGGAAGGGATGGAATGAAGGAGGAACAGAGCGAGGGAGGGAGAGAGGAAGAGAAAAAGAGAAGGAGGGAAGGAGGGAAGGAGAGAATGAAAAGAGGAAAGAAGGAAAGGAGGGAAGGAAGGGAGGGAGGAAAGAAGGAAAGGAAGGGAACGAGGGAGAGAGGGAGGGGGAGGGATGGAAGAAAGGAAAGGTCACCACTCGCAATCTTTAATGCGATAATTTATTCAAACAAGGACCATCAATAGATGAAACCATTAGGGTTGGGTGGAAGTTTGATGAGGCAACTTACAAAAGGGATCAGGCGTTCCCCTCATGGATCCACTGATCAATCTTAGCATCACTGAAAGGGATAATGACAATGTACCCTTGGCATAGTGCAGTCAGCAGGAAGTACATGGTACCACCTATGAAACACTCTTCCTCTGAGAACCGACTAGGACTCTAATCAAGCCTCTAGAGGTAACAGAGTTAAATTAACCCACTTTCTTCAGCAAATCAAAATCATTTATTAAAAAGGCACATGAAGTCAGGCACGGTGGTTCTTACATGTAATCTCAGTGCTTGAGAGGCTGAGGCAAGAAGATCCCTTGAACCCAGGAGTTCAAGACCTGTGTGGGCAACATGGCAAGACCTCATCTTTACAGGAATACAAACAATTAGGCGAGCATGGTGGTGCACGCCTGTAGTCCCAGCTACTTTGGAGGTTGAGGTGGGAGGATCACCAGAACCTGGAGGTCAAGGCTGCACCAATCCTTGATCATGCCACTGCACTCCAACCTGGGTGACAGAGCGAGACCCTGCCTCAAAAAAAAAAAAAAAAAAAAAAAGGCAGAGGGGTTGCTCTGTGTGTGTGTGTGTGTGTGTGTGTGTGCTGGGGAGTGCTTTAGATGAACACTTCAGAGGCAGAGTGAGCACTTTGTGTGGGACAAATAAAACTACAGAATTATTTTTAAGGCATCTAAACATTCTGACTATTTCATAACGAGGAATAACTGCTCAGTTTTTTACATATATGGCTATGCAAGAAGTGTCCACCTTTTAAGAGTTTAATATTGAAGTATATGAGGATGAAGGGACATGGTGTCTGGGGTTTGCTTTAAAATACTTAGGAAAAAGAGGCCGGGAGCAGTGGCTCATGCCTGTAATCCCAGCACTTTGGGAGGCCGAGGCAGGCAGATCACTGGAGGTGAGGAGTTTGAGACCAGCCTGGCCAACATGGTGAAACCTCGTCTCTACTAAAAATACAAAATTAGCTGGCGGTGGTGGTGGGTGCCTGGTAATCAGCTGTTCAGGAGGCTGAGGCAGGAGAATCGTTTGAACCTGGGAGGCAGAGGTTGCAGTGAGCTGAGATCACGCCACTGCACTCAAGCCCAGGTGACAGAGCAAGACTCTGTCTCAAAAAAACAAAAAAAAAACAAAAAAAAAACAAAAAAAAAGCCTTAGGAAAAAGAAACATAGAGTAGAAAGGGACAAGAATGGAAAGAGAAAGCGGAAGTGCCCTAATCTCAGTAACTGTGGAATCTGGCAATGGGTGTGTGGAGATTCCTTATGCTATCCTCTCTACTTTTGCACATTTTAGAAAACTTTATATGGTAGGGAGATGTTATTACCATTACACAGAAAACAAGGTCCATTCTTGTTTTTTTGTTTATTGAGGTTTTTTTTTAAAGAGATGGGGTCTTGCCATATGGCCCAGGCTGGAGTGCAGTGGTGCCGTCATGTCTCACTGGAGCCTCCAACTTCTGGGCTCAAATGATCCTCCCACTTCAGCCTCCCAAGTAACTAGAATCACAGCCACGCACCACCACACTCAGCTTTTTTTTTTTTTTTTTTTTTTTTTTCTTGTAGAGACCAGGTCTTGCTATGCTGCCTAGGCTGGTCTTGAACTCCTGGCCTCAAGTGATCCTCCCACTTCAGCCTCCCAAAGTGCTGGGATTACAGGCGTAAGTCACCATGCCCGGCCTATGATTGTTTGTAGCAAAAGTTTGAGAGGGAAATGTTAAAAGTTAATGTACTCAGAAACTCTTATTTCCCTACCCTTAGTTTATAGGGTTATTTGCTTTAGCCAACAATAATTAAAATTCAGATGCAATAAGACCAACTGGCAGGTGGGAAGACTTTTAAATAAAAGTTCTCAATTCAACGAGCAAATCAGTGAACCACATTCAGATACACAAGATAACAGAAGGAGACAGTTGGCCACCTTCTGTCCCAAACTACACATGCCATGGTCTTGAGTCGTTGGAAATATTTGGTAGAGCATGCTAATAACATTTTCCATAAACTCCCAGAAATCTTGAATTTGCAAAGCCAATGCAACCAGGAAATTCACGTTTCTGAAATATCAGGATGCACTTGGCAGTACAGGGGACATTTGTAAAATAGAGAAAACATCCCAGTTAACAGCATAGGCAAGACACCTATCCCTGCCACTTGAATGGCAGTGCCAACTTCCTGCACATCTGGCTTGAAGGGCATTTGGAGAGATGGCGGGAAGGTGATTCCCTGTGAGTTTATGATGGCATCGTAGTTCTGGAGCACAGCAATTAAGATAAAGACACCAGCAGCAATGTTGAAAACTCCTGAAACAATGAATGAATTGTAGGTGTCCTCCTCAAATATTTTCACAGACGTGTTTCTAAGTGCAAGGATGTTAAAGGCTCTCCCGAAGAATCCGAAAATGCTGGCAGTCAGTAGGAAGCGTTGAGCCATGTAAATTTCAAAAGGGAGAAAGGTGTCCTGGTAGCTGTATCGGTAACAGAATTTGGTTGTGGTGCTGTTGGTGCGATGCCGGTAAATGCAGACTCTAAATATTCCCACGCAGGCGATCCCAGGGGGGTAGAGCGGGGTGTCTTTCATGTACCATATTCGCCACTCCACAAGGCCCATGGACGTACAGGAGAGGATCCATCCTATGGTGGTAAGGGTGAAGACTGAAAATTGGCAGTTGGCACTGTTGCAGAACCAGGACATGGTGGCAGTGCACCCAGGAAACTACAAACAAATACAGAGCATGGTGAGGGGGGGATCCTGGGACCTGGGACAGCCTCCCAGGTGTTGTATTGGAGAAAGGAGACACTAGACCCTCTCGCTCTGCTAGTGGGAGTGCAGTCTGAGCAAACTTTGTGCAGGGCCGCTCCACAATATTTCCCGAAAGCCTTAAAATGCACACACCTTCAGACTGGCAGTTCCACTTCTGGGCATTGGTGCAAAGACATAAATAAGGTCGGCCACAAATATGTAGCCACAAAGATGGTCATCACAGCATTGTTTGTAATATTGGAAACTGGGAAACAACATCAAGTCCAACAATAGGGCATGGTGAAAGAATTTATGCTACGTCTACGCGATGGAGCTATATGCCAACATTGACAATACAAATGGAATCATATAAGGTGTAATAGTTTTGTGTGGCTCTTTTCACACGGCACGGTTTCAAGGGTCATCCATGTTGAAGCAGGTATGAGAAGGTTGTCCCTTTTCATTGCTGAATGGTGTTCCATTGTGTGGATAGACCACAGTTTGTTCATTCATCAGCTTTTGGACATTTGGGTTGGTGCCATGTTTTGGCTATTATAAATAATGCTGTCATGAACACTTGAATATAAAAGTTTGTATGGGCATATGTCCTTGTTTATCTGGTGTAGATGCCTAGGAGTGAAATTGGTGGTTCATATGGTAAGTGCATATTTAACTTTTTATAAATTGCTAAACTGTTTTCCCACGTGGCTGCACCATTTTGTATTCCCACCAGCAATGATGGAGGTTCCAGTTTCTCCATATTTTCTCCAACATTTGGTATTTTTAATGTTTTTCATGACAGCCATTCTAGTTGCCATTCTATGTGACCAAAAGGGAGGTGTCCATAATATTTCAAATACAAATTACATGTTTCAAAATAATGTGTATGATATAATCATAGATACAAATGGAACATAAAGTCTATATCCTAAGCTATTAGGAGACATTTTTAACTGGGTTTGAGAGATTCTGAGTTTTTTCTAAGCTATTTGGATTGTGAAGGGTCACACACATATAGAAAAGCACACAAGTGTGCAGCTCAATTAATGATGATGGGGTGAACACCCATGGAGCCACCATTGCATTTCAGATACACAATATTCCCACTTCCTTGCTTGCTTTCATAGTTTTATCATCTCAGCATGCATCCCCACACACCTTACTTCTATTTTGCCTGTTTTTCAAAATGGGGATCATATGGTCAATGCTTTTGTGTGACTGGTTTCTTTCACGCAATGTTGTGTCCATTTGTGACACTCAGATTGTAATTTTTTAATGGTGCCTGGCTGTTCAGTATTTTCAAATATTTCTGCAATACGCATGATTATTTAAAATAAGAAAACAATAAAAAATATTTCATGAAACAGTTGTCTCAGGAAACTTGCCTGAGCCCAGGAGTTTGAGACCAGTCTGGACAACATAGCAAGACCCTGTCTCCAATAAAAAAGTTGTCAAGCAATGGAAGATTGATTAATTTGAGTACAGAAATACACTTTACTACCTAGTATATGTTAAAGTGAAGCCATTCATTTATTATAATACTTTGCAGATAGTAAAGTAGAAAAACATTTAGTAACATGGGAAAATGTCCATGGTGCATTGAATCTAAAATGCAGGTAACAAACTCGTTAGTATATATAGTAGTATAATCTTATTTTTGCCTATCATAAAATATGCTGGGAAGCTAAAATGAGATGCATCTAAATATTAGGATTACTGATTTTTCTTTTCATGTCTTAAAGTATATTACTTTTTTAATTGGAAAAAAATGGCGAGCATAGAGAGACACAAACATAAAAGTGTATTAATTAATTATCAAGAATAAGGCCAGGCATGGTGGCTCACGCCTGTAATCCCAGCACTTTGGGAGGCCGAATAGGGCAGATCTCTTGAGGTCAGGAGTTTGAGCACGGCTTGGCCAACATGGCGAAACCCCGTCTCCGCTAAAAATACAAAAATTAGCCAGGCGTGGTGGTGCACGCCTGTAGTCCCAGCTACTTGGGAGGCTGAGGCAGGAGAATCGCTTGAACTCAGGAGTCGTAAGCTGCAGTGAGCAGAGATAGCACCACTGCACTCCAGCCTGGGCAACAGAGCGAGACTCTGTCTCAAAAAAAAAAAAAATTATTATCAAGAGTAATAAAAACATGGGTGTCTCCTGACCCAATCTCCCACTTCTTGGAATTAATTCTAGTGGACAAATCAGAGAAGTGGGATCAAAGTGTCTGGGCACTGATGCTCACCAGGGGTGTTGCTGACACTAGGAGTAAGAGAAATCTGGAGACAAGTAATATATGAAGCAATACAGATGCTTAAGTACATTTCATAATTCCAGGTGATATAGCATATTATTCAACCATTTACAATGAAGTCTTCAAAAGCATTTTAATGACAGGAAATTGTCACTGTTTGCTAAATGGGAAAAGGATGCAAAAGAATGTATAAATATACATGTTGTTTTTTATATATATGTGTGTGTGTTTGTGTGTCTCTTTGTGTGTTTGTATGTTTGTGTGTATTTGTGTGTCTCCTTGTGTGTTTGTGTCTCCTTGTGTGTGTGTGTGTGTGTGTGTGTGTAGTTGTATGCCGCCAGTTTTGTTTTTAAAAGACACCCACATGTGGCCGGGCGCGGTGGCTCACGCCTGTAATCCCAGCACTTTGGGAGGCCGAGGTGGGTGGATCATGAGGTCAGGAGATCCAGACCATCCTGGCTAACATGGTGAAACCCCGTCTCTACTAAAAAAAATACAAATAATTAGCCAGGCGTGGTGGTGGGCGCCTGTAGTCCCAGCTACTCGGGAGGCTGAGGCAGCAGAATGGCGTGAACCTGGAAGGCAGAGCTTGCAGTGAGCCAAGATCTCACCACTGCACTCCAGCCTGGGCAACAGAGTGAGACTCCGTTTCAAAAAAAAAAAGACACCCACATGTATACGCAGAAAACTTTGAAAGGCTCTCCTGGGTGCTGGGAAGGGTGCAGAGGAGTAGCTCACATACCTCTCCCGACTCCCCAAGGAAGATCCACTCTGGAAAGAGATACTCCTTTTTAAGTGATGAATAAAGATGGGATGAAATAGACATTGTGAGGGGAAGGAAGGAAGGAAGGAAGGAAGGAAGGAAGGAAGGAAGGAAGGAAGGAAGGAAGGTAGGAAGTGGGGGAGGGAGGGAGAAATGGAAGGGCAGGAGGGAGGGAGGGAGGGAGGAAGGGAGGGAGGGAGGAAGGAAAGAAAGAATTGCTGGAGAACATTGAGGGTCTGAACTTTATCGAGGAGGCATGCTGGGGAGGGATGGGTCAGAGGTTGTTCCAGGCTGATGTCAGAAATCCCTCCTAATGGCCAGAACATTCCTGGCAGATGCCACATTTATAGCATCATTCTTTTTGGCAAGATAATCTTGAACAAATGATTATTATTATTATTGAGACAGAGTCTCACTCTGTCTCCCAGATTGGAGTGCAGTGAAGTGATCATAGCTCAATCAGCCTCAACCTGCTGGGCGAAAACCATCCTCCTGCCTCAGCCTCCCAAGTAGCTGGGACCACAGGCGTGTCCCACCACACTCAGCTAATTTCTTTTTGTATTTTTTTGTAGAGATGGGGGTCTTGTTATGTTGCCCAGGCTGGTCTTAAACTCCTGGGTTCAAATGATCCTCCCACCTCGGCCTCCCAAAGTGCTAGAATTATAGGCATGAACCACTGTGCCTGGCTCAATAACTGTATTTCAAAATAAGTGTAATCCTGGGCATCTTGTTTTTGCATCTTTTCTGGAGAAAGGTCCGTAGGCTTCACTAGGTATCAAACAGGTTCATACACAAAAGAAATATCCTTTTTTGGCATATTTCAAGATGGCTCTTCAGAGAAGATGCAGACATAGGAACAGCCCTTTGTGGAGACAAGTGACTCCATCTTCAATGCTAATCCAGCAGTGTTGACCTTTGATTAACACCAGTCCTGTGAAGGCCTCCTGATTCCTACTTTATTTACCATCCTTAGTGTAAGAACATATACTCACTATAAATATAAATATTTTTTTGAGACAGAGTCTTGCTCTGTCACCCAAGGCTGGAGTGCAGTGGTGTGTGATCTCCGCTCACTGCAAGCCCTCCTGGGTTTCAGCGAGTCTCCTGCGTTAGCCTCAGGTGGGCGGATCACCTGAGGTCAGAAGTTTGAGACTAGCCTGGCCAACATGGTGAAACCCTGTCTCTGCTAAAAATACAAAAATTAGCTGGGCATGGTGGTGCGCACCTGTAGTCCCAGCTACTCGAGAGTCTGAGGCAGGAGAATTGCTTGAACCCAGGAGGCGGAGGATGCAGTGGGCCGAGATTACACCACTGCACTCCAGCCTGGCAACAGAGCAAGACTCTGTCTCAAAACAACAACAACAACAACAAAACTAAACTGAACAAATAATTGTCATGTGATCCAGGGGGCCAGGAGTGGTGGCTCACGCCTGTAATGCCAGCACTTTGGGAGGCTGAGGCGGGTAGATCAGATCACCTGAGGTGAGGAGTTCGAGACTAGCCTGGCCAACATGGTGAAATCCTGTCTCTTCTAGAAAAAAAAAAAAAAAAATAGCTGGGCGTGGTGGTATGTCCCTGTATTCCCAGCTCCTTGGGAGCCTGAGGCACAAGAATTGCTTGAACCTGGGAGGCGGAAGTTGCAGTGAGCCGAGATTACACCACTGCACTCCAGCCTGGGTGACAGAGGGAGAGTTCCTCTTAGAAAAAAAAAAAAGATTTGCTATGTGATCCAGCAATTCCATTTCTGGGTATATACCCAAAAAGATGTGAAAGCAGGGACTCAAAGACATATTTCTACACCCATGTTCATAGCAACGTTATTCACAGTAACCAAAGGCGGAAACAAACCAAGTGCCCCCCCACAGACAATGGAAGCTAAATGTGGTCTATACCGACGCCAGAAATACGATCTCTGTCCACAGTCTCAAAAACGAAGGAAGTTCTGACACAGGCTACCACATAAACGAACCTCGAAGACATTACACTGAGTGAAAGAAGCCACTCACAAAAGGACAAATACTGTCTGGCTCCCCATACGGGAGGTACCTATAATAGAGAGTCAAACTCATAGACAGAAAGTAGACAGTGGTTGCCAGGGGCTGGCGGGAGCTAATGGGGAGTGCATGTTTCACAGGGACAGAGTTTCATTTGGGGAAGATAAAAAGTTCTGGAGGTAGACAGTGGTGACAGTTACCCAACAATTACATGTACTTACTACCACTGAACTGTACACTTAAACAGCTAAAATGGTCAATTTTGTGTTACATATACTTTACCACAATAAAAAAAAAAAAAAAAAACACACAGTAAAGAAGGAACGAACCTCTGCTACCTAGTGACGTGGTCTCCACGTGAACTGGTGGCTTAAGGGGAGGGCAGTCAGCTCACCTGGCCAGCGGGGCCGACATGGACACAGCTCCTCTCGGATGACCTGCCTAGTTCTTCAGCACTGGCTTCTTGGTCCAGGCAGCTGGGAGTTCTCATCAACACTGTAGCCATGGTTTCTGGTTCTGAGGCCCTCCCTCAATGTTCTGTTCCCACATTCCACCAGTCACCCTGCTCATCCAGGTATCAGTCCTAGGTCCTGATGTCACTTCAGCCACCACCCTTTGGTTGCTTCCTTTGCTTCATCATGTAGCCTCTTTTGCTCTGTCAGCCTTTGGAGGGTGGCTATGTTTGCCAATAGACCTGCAGGGTCCACTCCAACATCTGTATGGGCTCCTAATTTCTCTCTCCCCACCAGCCCTAGAACTGGTATCTAACTCGTATCACCTGCAGGTAATTTTTTTTTTTATTTTTTTTTTTTTTGAGACGGAGTCTCGCCCTGTCGCCCAGGCTGGAGTGCAGTGGCCGGATCTCAGCTCACTGCAAGCTCCACCTCCTGGGTTTACGCCATTCTCCTGCCTCAGCCTCCCGAGTAGCTGGGACTACAGGCGCCCGCCACCTCGCCCGGCTAGTTTTTTTTTGTACTTTTTAGTAGAGACGGGGTTTCACCGTGTTCGCCAGGATGGTCTCGATCTCCTGACCTCGTGATCCGCCTGTCTCGGCCTCCCAAAGTGCTGGGATTACAGGCTTGAGCCACCGTGCCCGGCCCGGTAATTTTTCTTTTTTCAAGACGGAGTTTCACTCTTGTCACCCAGCCTGGAGTACAATGGCATGATCTCGGCTCACTGCAACCTCCGCCTCCTGGGTCCAGGCGATTCTCCTGCTTCAGCCTTCTGAGTAGCTGGAATTACAGGCACCTGCCACTATGCCCAGATAATTTTTTTGTGTTTTTAGTAGAGATGGGGTTTCACTGTGTTGGCCAGGCTGGTCTCGAACTCCTGATCTCGTGATCTGCCCACCTCGGCCTCCCAAAGTGCTGGGATTATAGGTGTGAGCCACTGTGCCCGGCCAACATTTTTTTTAAAGCAGTGGCAATATATAAGTACAGGTGTTAGCAGAAGTGGCACCCACCTGGATGAGACTGAGTTGTGAAAGCCACTGACAACCCATGCATTAGGAAAGACACCATTGATTTTAATTTTATTGTTTTGAGGCAGGGTCTCACTCTCACCCAGGCTGGAGTACAGTGGCACAATGACAATTCACTGCAGCCTCAGTCAACCTCCTGGGCTTAAGAGATCCTCCCTCCTCAGCCTCTCAAGTAGCTGGGACCACAGGCACGCACTACCATGCCTGGTTCATTTTTGTATTTTTTGCAGAGATGGAGTCTTGCTTTATTGTCCTGGCTGGTCTTCAACTCCTGGGCTTGGGCGATCTACCTGTCTCACCCTCCCAAAATATTGGGATTACAGGTGTGAGCCACCGCGCCAGCTGGGAAAGATACTGTTAGCTCATGGGAAATTACCTTTTTCTAGCTAAGTCTTGAATTACAAGCTTGCTGGAACACAGTTTAGGTAGGCAGGACAAGTGGAAGATGTGGAGTGATTCCTGGTGTGTGAAACTGACCTGCTAAGATTGGGGACAGCTTCAAATGGAACCTGTGTAAGAAATGAGGCTGCCAAAAGGCAAACGATGCCGGCTACCCAGTATGTAGGACTAAACATTGCACGGAAGTCAAAATCCCACTGGACTCCTTTGCTTACAGGGTTTCCATAATAAGGAATTTATTCTGAGCAAATGAGCAGAGATGTGTGCAAAGATCTAAGTGCAAGGCACACCCAATGAACTCTGTAACTGAGGTTACAACTGGGACAAAAAGGCAAAATCCTAAAACCACACTTAGAGAACCGTTCAGCAAACCATTTTATATCCTTATAATGGGATATCACACCAAAATTCAATACTGTGCTGCAGAATAATTAAGGAAAACATTCCCAATACTGCTAAGTAAAAAGCAGATTTCAAAAATAGTATTATATAATTCCGTTTCCTTAAAAAAAGCAAAAGGAAAAAGGAGATGAGGAGGGAGGAAGGGAAAGAGGGAGAGAAGGAGGGAGGGAAGGAGAAAGGGAGGGGAGGAAGGGGGGAAGGAGGTCCTTAAGGAAGGTGGGAAGGAGGGAGGGCGGGAAGGAAGGAAGGGGGTATGTGGCTATGTTGCCTTCCATGGCAAAACAGGCTTTGCGGCTGTGATGGAATTGAGGATCCTGCCATGGGGAGATGATCCCGGCTTAATCAGATGGGCTAGTGTCATCACAAGGGTTCTTGTGTGAGGGAGGCAAGAGGGTCAGGGAGGGAGATGAGATGATAGAAGGAGAGTCAGGAAGAGACCGGAAGACGCTAGACTGCTGGTTTTGCGGCTGGAGGAAGGGGCCGTGAGACAAGGAATGGGGCGGCCTCCAGAAACTAGACAGGCAAGAAACCAATTCTCTCTGGAGCTTCCAGAAAGGAACGCAGCCCTGCTCACACCTCGACCTTAGCTCGGTGTGATAGATTGCAGACTTCTGACCTTCACAACTGCAATGCGTAAATGTGGCATTTTAAACCACTAGCTTTGTGGTAATTTGTTACAGCATCAATAGGACACTAACACACTGCCCATGTCTGGCTGGAGAATTTTTTTTTTTTTTTTTTGAGACAGAGTTTTGCTCTTGTTGCCCAAGCTGGAGTGCAGTGGCGCAATCTCGGCTCACTGCAACCTCCGCCTCCTGGGTTCAAGCAATTCTCCTGCCTCAGCCTCCCAAGTAGCTGAGATTACAGGTGCCCACCACCACGCCTGGCTAATTTTTTGTATTTTTAGTAGAGACGGGGTTTCACCATGTTGGCCAGGTTGGTCTTGGACTCCTGACTGGCTGGGGAATTCTATGTGATCTCTCTTGTTCTTCAGTGTCCTACAATGTGACAAGTTTATGTGCTTTTCTGCACTGACTATTGGTTATCTTTAAAAAAAAAAAATAGTAATGCACATATGCATTTTACCTGCACCCTCTCCTCAAAGCCCACTAAAATGACAGAAACGGCTTAAGAGAGGCATTGACCCCCAGAGAACATAGCAGATGATTTACCAAAAAGATCCTGGTAGCAGGAAAGGTGATAGACAAATGCCAGCTGTCCTGGTAGACCAGAAGGCTGAGATGCAGACCTGTTGGGAGCAAGACTCTTTGTGGTACCAGGTGCCTCTGCAGGGAGGGGGGTGTCAGTGGGGGAAGTACAAAGGGACTGTCAGTAGGAATAGTGCCTGAGAATCTGTATCCGATGTTCCAAATTACCCGCTTCACGGCCACCCCCCATAATCACCAGACCACCAGTTCCCTCCTGCGGCAGAAGGCAGGAGGGCCAATCTGAGCTTGGAGGGAGGTGGCTGTACAGTCTCGCTCCCACTGGGCTCCAAGTGTTTGATGATCTCCAACTGTTGTCATATAACAGATTTTCATGTGGAGAGCAGAAATAGCCACTTCCTCCTTTTTTTTTTTTTTTTTTTAACAGTATTTGGAGAATTTATTTTTCTTTTTTGAGACAGGGTCTACTCTGTTGCCCAGGTTGGAGTCTTTTTTGAGACAGGGTCTACTCTGTCGCCACAGTAGTGTGATCATAGCTCATTGCAGCCTCCAATTCCTGGGCTCAAATGATCCTCCTGCCTCAGTCTCCCTAGTAGCTGGGAACACTGGCACATTTCACCATGCCCAGCTAATTTTTTTTTTTTTTTTTTTTTTTTTTTTTTTAGAGACAGGGTCTCCCTATGTCCTCCAGGCTGGTCTTGAACTCCTGGGCTGAAGCGATCCTGTGGCCTCGGCCTCCCAAAGTGCGGGATTCCAGGCGTGTGCCACCGTGCCCGGGCAGGTCTGCTATTTTAATATTTGTTTTGTTTCTTCTGGTTGTTGTTGTTGTTGTTGTTGTTGTTGTTGCGGCTTCCCTTCTACTGCCCTCTTTTGGGCTATCTGAGCAAGGTCAAAAGTTATCTATTCAGTTGTGTGAATCTCTGTACAGTTTTCCAGTGGTTGTTCTAGGGATGACAATACACAGGCATTTCATAGCCTATTTTGAAAAAACTATTTATTTATTTATGACAGGGTGTGGTTCTGCTGCTCAGGATGGAGTACAGTGGCACAATCTCAGCTCACTGCAACCTCTGCCTCCTGCACTGAAGTAATCCTCCCACCTCTGCCTCCTCAGTAGCTGGGACTACAGGTGCAGGTCACCATGCCCAGCTGATTTTTTTGTATTTTTAGTAGAGATGGGGTTTTGCCATGCTGCCAGGATGGTCTCGAACTCCTGGGCTTAAGCGATTCCTCCTGCCTTGGCCTCCCATAGTGCTGGGATCACAGGCATGAGCAACTGTGCCCTGCCCATAGCCTATTCAGAATTAATATTTCATGACTTCCAGAGGAATGTAGCAACCTTACCACTAGGTGTGTCCTTTCCTTGCAACCTTTAGGTTATAGCTATCACATACATTAAGATCTACATCTCTCCCTTCTAATTCATAAACACCATTTTGGTTTCTTTTTCAATTAAACTTAGAAAAGCATTGAAGAAGCCAGGTGCGGTGGCTCATGCCTGTAATCCCAGCACTTTGGGAGGCCAAGGCGGGTGAATCACCTGAGGCCAGGAGTTCGAGACCAGCCTGACCAACATGGTGAAGCCCCATCTCTACTAAAAATACAAAATTATCCAGGCACGGTGGCGCATGACTGTAATCCCAGCTACTCAGGAGGCTGAGGCAGGAGAATCGCTTGAACCCGGGATGCGGAGGATGCAGTGAGCCGAGATCACGCCATTGCACTCTAGCCTGGGCAACAAGAGCAAAACTCCTTCTCAAAAAAAAAAAAGAAGAAGAAGAAGAAGAAGAAGGAGAAGGAGAAGGAGAAGGAGAAGGAGAAGGAGAAGGAGAAGGAGAAGGAGAAGAAGAAGAAGAAACATGCTTTTCTTATATATGCTAAAAAGTTGACAACCGTTATGTACTGAATGTTTGCCCCCTTATCCCCTAATCAGATGTTGAAATCCTAACACCAGTGTGCTGGTATTAGGAGGTGGGATCTTTGGGAGGTAATCAGGTCATGGGGGCAGAACTCCCCATGAATTGGATTAGTGCCCTTATAAGAAGAGGCCTGAGAGCTACTTTGCTCTTTCCACCATGTGAGGATACAACCAGGCCAGCAACCCGGTTCTCACCAGAACCTGACCACAGTGGCACCCTGATCTTGGATTTCCAGCCTCCAGAACTGTGAGAAATCAATTTCTGTGTTGTTTATGATTCACTCAGTCTATGGTACTTTGTTATAGAAGCCTGAACGGACTAAGACAACATGTAATATTTGCTAATAGTTTGATTCCTTTGAATCAGTTTAAGAAGAAAGGCTCATGCCAGTAATAGTTTAAAAAGTACTCTAATTCCAAATATCTGTTC